AATAAAACACACACAATTATCAGATGAGTAACCTTTCACTTTCATGTCACCTTGATTCCCAATTTTGTCATTTTTTTCTTCTTTACTTTATCTACTGGTTACCATGGCAACAGTTCTCACCTGTCAAGTTCATTATATCAGCTGTGAAACATTATCTTGCATTTTAATGTCTGCACTTACATTTTTTTTTTACACATATTTCACAAGTAGTGGTGTTACCATTAAAGTCACAACCCATCAATGTCTAACAATAGGGGATTTTCCGTACAATTGCGAGAGCTCGCGAGATGTATGAAAAACGCGCGTCGAACGTCTGCCGCAAAAATCGAACGATTTGATTTTGAACTAGAATTTCTTTATTTCGTAACTCACATCGACCTGCCGATCTTCGACAGAGTAATATTGCTTCCGAATACCCTTACTTAATCAAAATTGCCTATCATCAAATGTGAACAGCACATTATTAAGCATGGAAATGTCCCCCAAAATACTTCGCGTTTGTCGAATGCCACGCGATATTTGACGCCACTACGACGCTATGACCTTTGTTTGTCCTGTTTTTACGTTCGATTTCACGCATAACGCGTGATTCTCGCAGTGAACGGAAAATGGTCTATTGAGGTAACTCAGCCGCAGTGAACGTTTGATGCAAGTATTAATTAAGGATTATTCCATTTGATTGATAGGGGTTTTGCAACACGATGGAAGTCTCAATATGGGATATCTCACGTGATTGATAAGATAGCTATATAATTTACTAAGCCATATGTGTACTGAGCTATTTTTGAAAATATATTATAACTACACAAAACCCGGGTTTAAATACAGAGGTGATCACCTCCTTGTACTTTCACTTGAAAAGTGGAATCCAGTGAAAATACTTTTCCTATATATCGTAACTCAATCTAAAACAGGAACAAACACTCTCTGTATCTAAATCATTCAACAGTATTTCTGAGACAGAATTTGACTAGACGGGAGATATTTATACAATTTTAGGTTTTGTATTTTTTGGCAGTGTGCCCTGTAAGCCAATATGAGGCGAAACTGACACACAAAGCTTCGCTGTAACGCAACTGTGCTATAATTAACTGGCGCCTCAACATAAAATCGCACATTGGGATAATTAAAAACAAATTACTATCGGTATATACATGTAGTTGTGGAATTTTGTACTTTAAATTTAATGGTTAAATTTTGGTTAAATTTAATTCACATTCAATAAACAGGTGTAAATATTAAGAAAATCAGGGGCTACAACATATTTTTGTGTGCATCAGGTCAAATATACAGCCATCTACAATTTGATTTGAAGACTGATCAACAAGCTGAATCAACTTGATTTTGGGGAAATCTATTTTGACTCAGGATCCCTGCAAATACATTTTTGTTAGTGGGCAGACCTGTGATTTGACAAAAGAGCAATTGAATGTTAATTTATGTTTCTGCTGAGGTTCCTAGACTTGTATATTTAATTGGTTAAAGGATGGTATTCGCTGTGCTATGTCATGTTCAATATACGTTCCAAGTGCGAGCTCCTTAAAGACACCCCACCCCGCTGTTTATGACATGGTACTGGGGGCGGGGTGGGGGGGCAAGGGTTATTTTCGTCCAACGTAATTGCAATATTTTTTTGTTCGTAAACGTAAATTGAAAAAATAAATTCCATAATTCTGTAATCACAAACTAGACGTACAACGTAATCAATCAAATATTTTTTTCGTTTGCTGTAAAAATGTGTCATTTTTCTCGGTACGTACAAAAATTTACATCCAAATAAAAAAAGTTGTAAAGAATAATCCAGGGAAATTACTTTTTCGAAACTGTAAAACGACTAGATGACACAATTCACTGCAAAATTCAATTTTCACTAAACTGTTAAAAACGTCTTTTTTCCCTGTAAATTGTAAATAGCCCTTTTTATTTCCCGTAAATATGTACCAGCTACCCCCCTTGCCCCCCCCCCCTCATGGTAGGGTAGGAGTGATGTATTTGACAAACTCTTCTATATAGATCCTATTGTGACATATGCAATGTGTATAGAACACAATGTTTGTTTACATACATTGCATATAAAATACAAAATGTGAACATGTGCTGAGCAAAAAAAACACTTCCCTATGATATATCTCTTTATTTCTATGAAATCATGACATTTTATGATGATTTAGTTAAAGGACGGTAGTTGTCACGCAGCTATTGTTCGAATTTCATGTAAACAAATATACTTTACACATGTTGTATACATCGCTATGGGTTCGATATCAGACTGTATGCGGCATGACAGCCATCGCTCTTTTTCATATTTTTGAATGCATGTGATACTGAATCAAAAATAAGTTTGTGGAGCTTCATATACATAGCTAAAATGTTATGATGTACCAGTCACATATAAACATTAGAAGATATATATTTTTTAATTATAATGTATACATGCAATTACATTAAATACAGACAAGGGTTTATAAGATAAGGGCTTGCAACTTACGTGATGAAGATCATATATTGAAGTCACATGTCGTACATCGTGAGACATTAACAGTACATTTCTAGAAACACTGTGCCAATTATGCAACCAACTTTCTCAACCAAATTTTTCTGCACATTTTTTTATATTCTTCAATAATTCTGAAAATGAACCCTAATTTTGGAGCCAACAGACAAAATTTGAATAAATTTTCATTTTTTTACTTTAAAAATTTGGCTATTTTTGTTCTAATTTTCTGAAAGAAAAGTAAAGACTATAAAAGGGACTATTTTGTGAATTTGTGATGAAAAACTGAAACTGGTGGTAAAAAGATTATATATTAAGTTTCATTGAGGCCTTTTCACTAATGAAGGTCAGATTTGTAAAAAGAAAAAATTCGCACAGAGAACGTTCGGTCCAAAAATTTCTACAGGGACAATTTAACACTGAAAACAAAAAGCTAACAAATTTATTTATACAACCTCAACCTTCGTACAAAAAAATCTAAATCAAAACTAATTAAATGAAAAAGACAAATTACATTTCCCCTTCCAAGGTCAACAATAGCTTCAAGATCAATAATATACTTTTATCACATTAAAGAAGTTGAACTGTAAAAAGTAAATGAAGCTGTATTGTTACTCTAGCGTGACATGATTGATGGTAATAATACTAAATAATAGAGCTTATTTAATCGATAGTATATGAAGTGAAACCTTAATTCAGGCATGTTATAATAAACACTGAAAAATTTCAAAGTGTCTAAAATGACCCCACTTGTGGCATTTTCTGCGAGATCAATCCGTACTGATTATTCACACAATACACATAATTTTATTAACCCTTCAGCACCAAATTTTGTTTCCTTTCAAGTTTGGGTCAATTTATTTTTATATTTTCTGTCATTTTCATCACTGAATTCAATCTTAATTCTGGACCAAACAGACAGAATGTGACATTGGTTCTAGTTTTTGAAAAAAACAAATTGAAATTTTCGGAACTATGAATGTAAAACTTGCCCTGACTTTATGCAATCTTATGGAATTAAAGCATCTACTTTGGGGTAGTTTTATTTAATATTGTTTTTAACTGAATAAATCTTCTCATACTGTAGAAATTTAATAAGCATACTAGAAATGATAATAATTATTACTATATTTATCATCAGTGACTATAGTGCTGTACACCATACACCATAACATACATACATGTAGGAAGACCAGTGTGTTTCCCCTTTGAGCACTGTGATTGTTCTCGACAAAATTGGCTTGCAATATTTCACCTATTTTTATGTATTTTTCAATATTTTTTTTTTATAATTGGCAAATGGGCATAATTGTCTTACAAGTCTTAAAAATAAAATTATGTGAATAGTGACAAAAGTTAATAATTTTGGAACAATTTTAATAATATCTATAGCTTGGACCTTGTTAAAAAACATTGGACACTAAGAAATGCCCGATACTTGGTATTTAGGGGTCTAGTTTTAGGCATAAATTGATTAGAAATCAGTTTTCAGTTTTTGACTAGCAAAAAAAAGAAGAAATAGTGAATATGTAACACTGTTTCCCAAAATAGTGTGCGCACAGTTTTTTTTTTTTTATTTATTTTTATTGCTTTATTTTTTTCTTTAGTTTTTCTAAAATTCTGACTGAAAAACTATGTGGGTAAACCTAAGAAATACAGCACAAACAATTTTAACCATGCTTTTTCTCTGGGTATTATAGACACGAATTTCCATGTTATAACTGTAGACCCAATAATATAATATTATATGGTTTATTATTACTATTTTCCCAGAATGAATGAAAGAAAAATAGACAACCTAAATAAAAAAAGAAACAATATTTTTTTCACAAATAACAAGATAATAATTGTAGCCATAAATACTAAAAACATTATTAAATGATTAATTGATTGTATAATTTGTGTTCATTGAAATTTACCTGTTTTTTGGAACTGAAGAAGCAAATTATGTTAAACGACTGAGAATAACCATTGTTTACTATTGAAATATAAAATATTTATTTTGGTTGCATTTTTTTTACAAGGTGTGAACAATGCATATAATGAGATAGAAAAATTACTTTAAATAATATTAAAAATAATTATTTTGGGGACAGAGGGGTTGTGTCTGACCCCAAATTACATTATAAATAATTTTTTTTTTTTAAATAATCGTCAGTTCGTTTCGAACTTATCTTAAACTGGAACAAGCAACGCCAATGGTGTTACCCCAAAAGGATTTGAGAAATGTTTGCGAGGAGATATAAACGCGATCTGTATCCGATCCCCCTAATTACTTGTTCCCCGCTGATATTAAAGGTCCCCTAACCACTGACTCGGTTGTATTTACACATGTAGCCAAGATACTAAGGCGGTCGTGGGTGGGCCGCTGCTGTTTTGGCTGATCGAAATCACTGTTACATTGCAGTCGTGACTCGATTAAGGCCACAGAGATCCAAGTACATACTACATAGAAAGATTACTTCTACCGGCAATTACAAAAAAATTATACTGTATTTACACTTACCAAATCATCCACGGTCACGTTGGGAGGTTCTGTAAGAGAGAGAATGGCGACATAAGTCAGTCGAATTTGCGATATTGCGATATTAAAACACGGAAATAAAACAAATTAATATTATAAAAATTAAAACTTGTCAAAATTCAACTAAACTAAGCTATCAAAACTTACCGACGGAAAGTCTCTTCCCCGGCATTTTGGCGATGATGTCACGGACCAGAACAGGAAAATAACGGGAAACAACACCAAGCACGTTTTGGAGTTCAACACTTGTTGACTTCGGTCAGCTTGTCCCAAATCACCGTGGCAATCCCCGGTATTATACCACGTACTCCATGCCACCTGTGGGGCTTGGAAACAGCTATAGTTTATCAATCCACGGAGTTAAAAATATAGGCATACTGTCCAGCGACACGGTCAGAAATTTTCGGTATTCCGGGTGCCCTCTCAGAGTTCTTGTTGTTGCCCCGTGTCTCTCAGCTAAGTTGCTGATTTCCATATCAATACGTCAGGCATGGGACAGTAACTGAGTGATTAATTATGCAGTCAAACACATTATTACTATGGTTACGCCCAGCTGACTGTTAGCCCATGACCTCGTTTAGACGTTGTCGCTATGAAAAACGTTATCTACCACAAGATGGCGCTATACTGCATTCGATTGGTGTCTCGCGTACCATGCATCCGATTTGTTTACTAACATGTTGTGTTGACTCATTCTCCTCCCCGGAGATCCTTGCGGCCAGGACATCGAAAGTATACGTAGAAATAGAACTCTTCCAGGGAGATTGGTGTTGATTGTGTTTGGAATCGTGAAAGAAATGAAAATCAAATCAAGTGTGTCCTTCGAATCAAGTGTCTAGTACGTCCATGGTCCTTGTCAATCAGCCCCCTTCCCCCCAAATATAACAAATACATATCCCTGACGTATTCGGTCATATACAATCGCATGGGCTATACGTATGTAAATATTTGGATCGAAATCAAAGAAAAGTGTGTGTATGTGTGTTTTTTTTTTTTTTTTTTCGTTTTGCAAAGTGAAAGCGTGGAAAATATAAGGAACGTTTTGAAGCAGTCCGTGGAACATCCAGGATCAACATCTCACATTCGTGTACAGAACTGAGCACCGTGACGTTAGTTGTTGGTTGTCAACTTGCTACAAGTTCGTTACACGGAGGGTTAATCGAAGTTGATCCATGTCAAACGAATCACTGACTCAGTGAGTGGTTGACCGTTAGACACTTTGGTAGAGAGGTAGAAATCTGCACAGAACATTTCATCCCACAAGAAGCAGAACAGAAAATAATAACTTTATTACACAACTGTACCGTCAGAGGGCGTTGTATGCTAAAATACACAAATTCTGAAAGGATAGAATGTTACATCACAAAACAACCCTTCCCCATACGCTCTATCGCCCTCTTTATTAAATTTACTGTTTTATTGTGTTTTTCAGATACTACTTGCATGCTACAATTCATATGTTTTTAATAAATTGTGATATTTTGTTTGTTGTTAAAAGAACATTTATTTGACATTTTTTTTTTCAAAAGACACTCCTTTTCCTCATTAAACAAACACCAGTCAGGGGTAAAGCGATCATCGTTTTCAATATTATTTGTTTTACGTTTTTGACAAAATCTATATTTGTCTTGTATTTTAGGGGTTTTCCTCTTTCCTAATTCAATTTCAGGTTGTGATCACTTAGACGAAACTTTGATAGCATTTTAGGCAAATTATAATCACCTATTTCAGGCATGTATTTTTCAAATGTACAGTTTGTTTTAAATAATCTATATGTTCGCAATTTATTACCATTATTTAATATTTTAAGTCTACAGTTGTATTAAAAAACACTCACACGTAAATAAAACAAAATCATCTCCAAACGTTTTACTACTCCCTGCCCAGTCTGAGTTGTATATAGGAGGGCGCTGTTCCGGGTCTGCCACACTTAACGCCAACAACGCCAGGGGGAGACCAAGGTAAACAACCCTGGTAGACCCATTGTCTCAGCATGTAATTGTCCGACTGAGCACATAGCTCGATACTTGGATTCAATGTTGAGACCAATTGTTGTGTCACAGCCTACGTATGTTCAGGATACTAATGATGCACTTAGGAAACTAGAGTTATTTCGTTTCACACCGGATAAACCCAGATTTTTGTTTTCTATGGATGTAAAATCCCTTTATACATCTATCCCGCACACTGATGGACTGTTGGCTTTACAGCATTTTCTGAATAAAAGGACAGTTAAGGATCCTCCTACGTTTGTGTTGGTGCGCTTAGCGGAATTAGTTTTGAACGGGAATTGCTTTTCTTTTAATGGT